CAATGATCCTGAGGGATGATGAAAATCCTGGGCCTTTGGAGGGCTGGATGTGCATGGTCCTGCCATGACAGCCTGGATCTCAGCAAGAACAGGTCATCCCATCTGTGAGGCCCCCCCATAAAGCAGAGTGAACCAATCCCTTCAGAACAACGGGAGTTTGTCTGCCTGAACCCCACAGTGACAGTCCTTGGGGATACACCAGCTGGAGAGGGAGCACAGGTGCCTTTTGGACTCAGTCCTGGCTTTGCTGCAGGCTTTATCCTGTGTGGACAGTGCTGTCCTTTCAACAGCCCTCAGCCTCAAGTTTCTTCACCTCATTTACAAATGGAGGTGAGTTGAAACTCAAACTCTCAGGGTGTCCTGTGTCCAACTTTTTCTTGCAGCTAGGAAAACAGAGATGCAGCAAATTATCTACTTCTACCAGCCACACTGGAGCACAGGGAGAAATGGATTTGAGATCCATTCCAAGCCCCTCTTACCCTGGTAGAGCAGGAGGAGAGCTTTGGCTCTGGTTTCCCCTGCAGGCACCTTCACTAAGGGGTCCCTGAGCCCCAGACCTTGCCAGGTGATCTGTTGTCTTTCCATGAGTGATCAGCCTGGCTTTTGACGATATTTTCACATAAAACAGCCTTCCTATTTTATCTTGCAGCATAAATCTTACTTTACTGAGTGGGAGTGAGAGATCAAAGGACACTGAGTGTGATGGAGAGCAGAGACCTGAGTCTGCAGAGACACCCAGCACCAGGCAGCAGCCTGGGAAGGAGGCAGAGCCCTGGGACCTGCAAGCAGAAGAGCAGATCAGCTTCAGGACTGTCCTGCACGAGGTCAGGGCACAGTGAGCAGTGAGACAGCTTTCTGCACTGCTCCCAGCCCTGTGAAGAGGAGAAGGCAGAGAGGGTAATGCTTCCACGGACACTCTTTCACCACCAGGCAGGACAGCTGAGACAAGGAGCATTTGGAGAGTTTCCTAAGTCAGCAGGAGGCTCACCAGAACTCATCCTGAGCAAGGAGGGATGGACAACCACCACTTCTCCCTCGCAGAGCCAGTTTGCAGAGTGCAGGGTTTAGGTTCACCCAGATGAGGCTGCAGGATGGGAAGGGACATTGGATCTGTTCAACAGCATCATGCCTGGAGGCCGAGATTCAGGCTGGACCAGCAATAACCCACTTCACATGTGAGCTGCTGCTGCTGCCTTGCTCACAGACCGTGGTTTGCCATCAGGAGTACCAGCCCCATCCCCTCCAGATCCAGCAGCTCCCATTTGATTCAGATCAGACACCCAGGCACAGCCCCTGGCAGGGCAGACCAATGCCTGCTTCCAAAGCCATCTGTGTCCCTGACAGGAAATGCGGATTGTAACCTTTAAACTGCTAATTTTTATGAAGCAGGTCAGAAAACTTTCCTGATAGCACAGGTGATGGGCAAGAAAGACCTTTGTCCCAAGCAGGGCTTGGGATTTCAGCACACGGAGTCCACATCCACGGACTTTATCCTCCCAGGTGGCACTTTCCCCTTGAGGTGCTACATCAATCCTGGATCTGCCCACAGGGGCCTGAACAGTGTTTCTGTGGAGGCACTGGCACGCAGTAGGCAGGAAGGTGCAGGCTGGTGGGAGTGTGGGGATGGAGCAGGATCTCTTCAGCTGGATCTGTCACAGAGACGAGGACAAGGACATCTCCCTGATCCCTTTGGCCCTGCAGACACCTCCACCAAAAACAATCACCAGCAAAGCTGCCCTGCCTGGCCCTGCCTGCAACCCACAGCCACAGAACCCTCTTGCAAGACAGTGAGGTGTTTCACAAGGCTTTTGCAACGGGCTTAACCAGATTACTGTGTGGAAAGAGGTGTGAAACCAGCAGGAATGGGGGCAAGCAGCCACAGCGAGTCCTCTGGGCAACGGCCTTGCACTCTGCTGTTCCCTGTCTCACCATTCACCTGCTCTCCACAGCCTGTGCAGGTCCAGCTCCTTCATTTGTCCCCTGCAAGGTCAACTCCTTCCTGTGGCTGGTGGTGTTCAGGTAAATGGAAAGAAAAAAAGTAAACACCAAAGACAAAAGCTTTTACTGTGGAGCTGTGAGTTTGGCAGGCGTGGGGAAGGCTGGGGGAGATAAATATTGCTAAACCAGAGTTTCCAGACAGCCCAGGCTTCCCAGTAGATAGGATTCACACCTCCCTTCCCACGTCTGCTAATAGGGGTAGGCCATGCCAGGGCACAAGAGAAAGCAGGGGCAAAAATCACCAGTAAAATGCAAAAGGGGACAAGTTTCACAGGTGCAAAAGTTGGTCTGTCCTCCAGCACCTCGGTCAGTGTGTTCAAACAACCCCATTCCACATCTCAGCAGCTCCCTGCCCTCAGCTGCAGCTGCGAGCTGGCCACCCCACACACGGTAGTGAAGCCTCTGTGGAAGCTCATGTGAACAGTAGTTCAACCCCATGAACAGTAGTTCAACCTCCAGGATGCTCCCATGCCTCTCCTGGGGAGCTGGTTCCTGGGGATGTGCTCACACACCTGATGGGAACTGGGTGAAAGTACCCTCCACGTGTTCTTGCTCAGTGTCCTGTGTCTCCTCTTTCCAGGGGAGGGATGGCTTGTCTCCTTTTTGTAGGAGCTAAGCCCCAGTTTGTTGGATAGCATTCCATCCCAGCCTCCTTTCCAGGGAAAAGCCAGCCTCAACCAAAAATTAATATATACTTTCTGCTGGAGGGGCAGTAAAGGCAATAAAGCCTGCACTGCATTAATATGCAAACTGGTAACAAGGATATGTAAATATCACATGATATTGAAGATTTTTATGAGGCCAAGCAACGTTTCTCAAGCTGCTTTCTCAGTTAATGTTTAACAGGATGACCATGGAGTCAAGGACCAGGACGAGTTTGATGTTGATCAGCAGAACAATGTATATTGTGTCTGCTTCGAGGTCCTGGCCGGGCAGTATCACTGGCAAAGGCATATGTAAACAACATCCTAGGGCAAGGAGAGCTGTGTGGGAGGGAATTGTCTGCACCTCCAGGGCAGCAGAGCAGCAGCTCCTGCTCGTGTGAAGTGCCTTTCCCCAGACCCTTCATCACGCCCTTTGTCACCTGGGCTTGCTGGAGTGGCACAAAACGATCCAGTGGATTTTGTTTGGTTTGGGTTTGTTAGTTTTTTCCCATTTTGTGGAGCAAACTGCCTCATGGGAGGCTATGCCGGATGTTGGGGTGCTGGAGCATGTCCAGGGAAGAGAAATGGAGCTGGGGAAGGGTCTGATGAGAAGCAGCTGATGGAACTGGGGGAGCTCAGCCTGGAGAAAAGGAGGCTCGGGGGACCTTCTCACTCTCTGAAACTCCCTGACAGGAGGGTGGAGCCAGGTGGGGATCGGGCTCTGTTCCCAGGGAACAAGAGACAGGACAAGAGGAAATGACCTCAAGATGCACCAGGGCAGGTTTAGGTTGAATATTTGGAAAAAAATCCTCACCAGAATGGGCAGTCAGTCACTGGCACAGGCTGCCCAGGGCAGTGGTGGAATCACCATCCCTGGAGGGACTTCAAAGCCATGTAGATGTGGCAGCTGGGGACATGCAATGGCCTTGGCAGTGCTGGGGGAGCAGTTTGGCTTGATGATCTCAGAGAGCTTTTCCAACCTAAGTGATTCTGTGATTCTGTGTGAGGAGGGCAGCACGGCTGGGGCAGATGAGGCTGTGGAACGATAATTGCTGATTCACTCCCTGCATTCAGGGAACTGGAAAGGGCTCTCTAAGGTCTCCCACACCTCTCATCACCAGAAGGTTTCATTTGGGATACACTTCAGGTTCTTCAGACAGAGCAGAATAGATCCTGTTTTTCTCTTGCCCAAGAACACAGCACGTCACGTAACTAACTCAAATAATTTCTTCCTGGTTGAGCCTCATTAGGGACCCAGCATTAAACTGGCCTGATTAGATCGACTAATCGATGTGGGGAAAGGGAGGCTGGTTTCAGCACGCAGGCCAGCACGGGGGCAGGGCCACGCTGCTCCACCCTCCGGCCACCCCACCCCACCCCACTGTCCCCCTTCCCCGCCCCACCTCGTACCCACGGTCCCCTCAGCGCTGCCCACCACCCTGAGTCCCAGTCATGTGCCAGGGGTAGCGATGGTGACTGAACATCCGACCTGCGCCCTTGACCTGCTTTATCTGGGTTTTCCCAGGCGCTGCGCTCCTATCTTTCCCGTGCATGTGTCCTGTTATCAGCAGAAGGGGACAGCCCCCCTGCAAAGGTCCTGGTCCCCAGCCTGGTGCCCCGTCCAGTCCCCGCGGAGAAGGGGAGTGGGAACAGAAGGGTGCGGGGGGCAGTGGGGCCCTGGGGGTCCCAGGTGGGGCTTAGACTCTCTCAGCTTAGGCAGCTCCCAGCCCTGAGACCCCCCCGTGCCCACCCCAACCCCTCTGTCCTTCGTTTAACCCCCTGTTCAGCCCCCACTCAGCTGGACTGTCAGGGAGCCCCTTCCCCACGGGCAGGGACGGGACCCTGTGGGTCAGACCGGACCTTTCCAACTTCAGGCCCCTTGGACCTCACTCATCCGGCCGGGGCCAGGGCAGGGGCTGGGACAGGGACAAGGAGCAGGGCAGGGGCAGGGGTTAGGACAGGGGCAGGGACAGAGAAAAGGACAGGGCCAGGAACAAGGGTAGGGAAAGGGGCAGGGACAGTGGTAATAGGGGCAGTAGCAGGGATAGGACAGGGGCAGGGACAAGGACAGGGGCAGTGGCAATAGGAAGGACAGGGACAGGAGCAGAGACAAGGACGGGGGCAAGGGCAGAAGCTGGGACAGAGACAGGGACAAGGGGCAGGGAAAGGAGCAGTAGCAGGGCCAGGGGAGTAGCAGGGACAGTGGCAGTAGGTGGGACAGGACGAGGGACAAGGGCAGGGGCAGTGGCAGGGATATGGCAGGGACAAGAACAGGGGCAGGGACACGGACAGGGACAGCTCCCGGGGCCGTGCTGGCCGCTCCCTCGGGCCACGCCCCTTTTGACCACGCCCCTGTCTGGGCGTGTCCCTTGCCCGTGACGCACACGCCCCGCCCCTCGGGGGGCGTGTCCCGAGCGCCGCCCGTGACGTCACGGGCGCGGGGTGCGCAGCAGGTGCGGGTCGCGCAGGGCGGAGGTACCGGGGGGTCCCTGCGGGTCCGGCGGGGTTTGGACGGGGGGTCCGGGATGGGGGACACCAGGGTGGGGTCACCAGGGTGGGCACACCGGCAGGGCACGGCCAGGCTCCGCTCGGCTCCGGACGGGGGGAGCTGGCGCGCCTGGGTGGGAGCGGGTCCGGGCACGGGGGTCGCGCTGGGGCTGGGGAGGATGAGGAGTATGGAGAGGAGGATGAGGAGGAAGGCTCGGGGTGAGCAGCAGGACCCACCGCGCCGCGAAGAGCCGGCGGTGGTGACAGCGTTGCGGAGGGGTCGGTGCAAGGGGGGGGGGGACCAGTGAGGCCCCCCGGGCGCTCCCCCCACCCCATCCCGGGGGTCCCTCGCTGTGCGCAGCCCCAGCGAGGCGATTGTTGTCCCAGTTCATGGACAATTCCCGGCTGCCGTGGCGGGGCTGGGGGCTCCCCTTCCTGCCCCGTGCGCGGGGGGCTCGGGGGGGCCCGGGCGGGGCTGTTTGTGCTGCTGGGAGGGCACGGAAGGGCATCCAGGGCAGGTGGGCACAGCTCGAACTAAAGCCGGGCTTGTTTAGTGCGGGGCGAGACGCGAGCGAGCGCTCGGAGTAAAAAATAATAATAGTAATAATAATAATAACGCCGCATGGTGTGTTTGAAAAGCCATTACGCTTGTCCTGGATTTTACGTTTCCCGTTCCTATAGCTGAGGAGACCTCATTTGGATAATTAAATGTCGCGGTGAAATGGGAGAAGGAGGAAGAAGGGGGGTACTCGCCGCCTCTCCTCTGCCACATGGGTCTGCCACCCCTTCTGGTGGCGGTGGACAGATCCTCTCTGAGCGGGGTAGCGCCGAGATCTGTCCCAGTCATCCCAGATTCGCTTTATCTGAAAGGAGAAAAAAAAGGTGCTTTTTGTTTCTGATGCCTTTGCTGCGAGACGTGTGTGAATAGTAAATAGGGTAAGTCTGGGTAAGGCAGTAAGTGTGGGTGAGTTCCAGTGTCTGTGCCGAGCAGCTGCCTTCTCTTTGTGCTGTGGTAAACACAGGGATGGGGTACGAGGTGTGGGAAGTGCTGCTGTGCCAGGAAAGGGGTATTTTTCACCAGTTGCTTTAACAGAAACTGACTCCTTGTAGAAACTTTTGGTGATGATAATATTACTGCTTCAGATAGACTGATGAGGCTGAGAACACTGATTGTTTTGCACAGTAAATTTTATTGATCCTGTTTCAGGGCTTTTTGGGGACAGTCAGGGATTAATGTGTGTGTTAGATAATAATCTTCCACTGCGCAGAACAGAGGTTTTACCAAGCCCTGAAACTTCTGTAGCACGAACTCTGCCTCTTATTCATGTGCTATAAAGGCCATCTTTGTTAAATACTGATTTGTCATTCCCTGAGTGGTGTGAGAGCTGTAACTGATAATCTGCAGAGGCTCGTGGTTGTCCTTGCTGCAGAGGTCGCAGGGAAGAGGAGAATGTCCTGTAAAGGAGTGGCTCTGAAGCGGGTGGGGGCTCTGCATGGGCTGAGCAGCCCCTGCCCTGGTATCAGTCAAGGGAGAGAGCTCCGGTGTTTTGCTGCCGTGTGTCCCCCCCACACCCAGCTCCGAGTTACATTTAAAATTGTCAGTGGTTTGCTGCTCAGAAAACCAGGGATGTTCCATGAGCATTAGCAGGGATGTTGCACTGGGATGATGGAAGTACCTGGAGGGCTGTGTGTGCCAGAAGCAGAGGAGCTGCCTGTTCCCAGGGGTATTTCTAATGCATGATCAGGTGAATATGTCACCTAATTTTTTTTTGTGTAACTCCGGATTCTCAAGAAGCAGGCCTGCATCTCTCCTGTCCCCTGTTTGTGATCTCCCTGTGGCATGGCTGGAAGCTTAGCAGGGCTCCCTGAAAACTTTTTCTCGTGGGAACCGGAGCCTTGAATGAGCAGGCTCGTGTGCTGCCGTCAGTATTGATATTTTCTACTCTCTCGGTGTGTATTCTGTCTTTCCCAACTTCCTGCTTCTGACCTCAAACCCGGTGGCTCAATGAGTAGAAAATAGCACTGTCATTTCTGGGAAGAGGGAAGGATCGGAAGGAGCTGGAGTCATTCAAGCACGCGGTCGGCGTTGCCAGGCCTGGCGTCCTGCCGGCAGCAGCTCGGCTTCCCGCAGGCAGCCGGGAGCCTCCCAGGCTGCTGTCCGTGGGTGGGAGGCTGCCTCCTCCAGATTTTGGGGTGAAGTGCTTGGCCTCACACCCGTGAAGGGCAGGCAAGTGCCGGGCTACCCTCACCCTGTATCCCGGGGAGCGTTTCCCAACTGGGATGTGACTACGTGGAAGTGCCACCACCCCACTGCTGTGGTCCCAGAACTGCAGGGAGCTGCAGGGAATGGACCTCCTTGGAAGTGTCTGGCTGTATTCCTTATGCCAGGCACTGCTGGACAAAATCTGCTGTTTCTGTCACTTGTGTATCAGAAAGGGATATTTCCACACTAAGATTATAACGTGTTCTTGAGGTATTATTTGGTCTTACCAGCTATGGAGGGCAGTGCCCTGAAGTGTAAAAGCTTTTCAGCCTCTTGACAAGGTGAGGCTAAGGCTTTCTTGGGTTGGTGACAACTGGTATGGGAGGAACTGGCTGGTGCCCTGTGACAAGCAGCCATTAAAGAGGATTCTTGCATATGCCCTACAGGCAAAGTAAAGCATCATGTTAGAGCAGCAAGTAGGATGTGGAAAAGCAGAAGAAGTGAGAAAACGTGAGGGAGAAAAAAAAAAAAAATCTTGATCTCATTCCGTTTTCCAGCCTCTCACGACAATCCTTCTGAGCAGTGAGATCTCAGCTGTAGAAAATGCCTGTACTTCTGTCTGCACACACCAAAGTAACCGTGCCCTGGGATGTGCGTGCTGCCTGAAAACCTGGGGAGCATCTTCCACCAAATCCACCAGTGTATCAGAGCTGGGGAGGTTTACCCTGAAAGGCTGCTGCTGTTCCGTGGCTGGAATGCTGCCAGAACACCATCTGAGTAACATCTGAACGTATTATCTGCACTTAATAATTTTCTTACCAGTCATACTGTTTGTTTCGCATTCTCTCCTCAGCGGGACCAACAAAGCTGCTTTATTTAATTATTATTTGCAGGTCTAGTTTAACTTGTCAATCAGATGTTTTCAATAATTTTTGTTTTGGTATTTATTTCACCTTAAAACTGCCAACGCACCACTTGAAGAGCAAGCTATAGTCATGTATTTCTGGAATTACCTGAGGCAGCACATTACACAAAGACTTGAACAAGAGCAGTGCCTGCAAAAGCATTTAAAACCTGAAACCAAGATGTTAACGCTGCTCTCTGTAGTGATTTCTGTTTAAAGGTGCTTTTAGGTGTGTTTCTGGGCAGAGTCTCACCTGGCGTGTCAGCAACAAGTGCCATGGCTGACACCACCCAAGGGGCTGTGCAGTGGTGTTTTCTGTCATTAGAATTATTAGTCCCCTGGTGTTCAAGTGTATGTTCTTAAAACCTTTCATCAGATGTCTGAAAAACTTGACAATTTTTCCCCATGAGGGTGCAGTTCTTGTAATAACAGTAACAGGGCAATGGATTAGGGTTTTTTTATTATCATAATTTTTAACAACATTTTTATTGCAGGAACTACAGTGTGTCAGCTTCATCGTTTTCTTCTGCCATACACAACACGTAGGTGGACAGTGTGTTGCAGGGAAGAAAACTGGGCAGTAAGTGACAGGTGTAGTGTTTCTGAAGAGGTCTGTGTGTTCCTGACAGTTGAAAATATGTTGAACTTTGTCTGTAGAGGGAAAATCCTGGAATGCAAACCTGGGTGCATTGGTAAGAGTTCGGTGGAGACAGAGGAGCCAAGGATAGATCTGTCACTGTGAAGCTCTACAAAGGACAGTTCCTCTGAGGCAAAAACTGCTGTGACTACAAGCCCTTTAAAGCTGATGAAATCCTGGTGTTTGAAACCAAAACCACCTGGAAATGCGCATATCCATCGTGGCTTTGCCGAAAAGGCAGGGCAGGCCATGGCACTGGAGAGGTGGCACAGTCTGTAGGGACACGAGTGTCAGCCTCAGAGATCAGGTGCCCTCTCCACTTGCATACACGGGCAGACTTCAGGCCTCTGGAGGGCTTGGAGGCTCCCAGGAAGAAGGAATACCCAGCTCAGGAACTCAGAAGGTTGAATTCTTGTTGACCCAAACCGCTGTTCGCTCCACAGAGCTGTCTGAGCTGGTGGCAGCAGAGTTGTCTTGTGCAGGAGATGCCTGGCAGCCACTCAGCTAAAGGTGAGGAAACACACCTCTTCCCAAGGATCAGGAGTGTCCTGGAGCTCCAGACACTCTGAAGGAACTGGGTTTGAACAGAGGAGGGGGTTTTTAGCTTTTACTTTGACAGTACAAAGCTGGGCTCTTCACTTCTGCTCTTCGTACAGGTTCTTCACCTGTATTTTATGAAGTAAAGCAGTTTTGAGCACCTTTTGTCAGAAAAGATGGGGACAGTTCTTGTGTAGTCCCCCTTCAGCTGTCACTCCAGGTGAAGTGTTACTCTGCTGCTGAAGTGGGAGGGCAAACCAGGGAGGAAGCTTTTCCTGGAAGCGAACTGAGCAAGAGTGGAATCTCTTACGATTTATCCTTAACATACCTTTCATACAATCACTAAATGGACCTGGCAGATAAGCTGGTGAGAGGGAAACACAGAGCCAGTGCCATTTAAGAGCCACTTGTGCTCTTTTTTTCATTTGGATACTGTTCATATGAAATGTAATTTAAATGCTAGGCTGGTTGCCAGGAGCTGGATTGTTGATGTTAAATGTACTTTCCATTAGGGCTCTGTATTGGAAAACGACTTCCTAGCGCTGCAGGCATTGGAAGGGGTGGGTTACATCAGGGTGCCCCAGTTGTCCTTCTCAGGGTCTGGCCTCTCACCATGCCCTCCATCTTCATCTGTGTAAAAACCAGCTGAATCAACATCTGCCATACCCAAAACACCACTGCTCCT